ACAGGACAAACCTGACATAGTAATTCAGGTTGGTGGGCAGACTCTGGCAGCATTTTAACAGATCTTTCTTCCCCCTTCTTGGTAAGGGGAGGGGAGGAAGGGAGAAAAGAGAAGATGTGAGAAATTTATTAACTTTTTCACAGCCTTCCCTTCCTTCTGCCTGACTCAGGTTTGGGAACTTGCCGGCTTACCTGATCTTCTTTCCTGAGTGTTCTGTAAAAGGAAGGGTAAAAGTCACGCTGCAAGATTCTATACAGAAAATCAATAAGAATAAAAGAAAAATTGCACCCCCCAAGGGGCTGTGTGAAATGATGGAATTATGGCATATTGGGAAGGACTGTAGGTGAGGAATCTTGGAGAAGAGAGTTGATGGAAGGATAAACATAGGGACAATTGTTCAATATTTTTCTGGACTAAGTGAGTGAGAAATTCCTCAAAGTTCCCTTGGTGAAACAATGGAAGATGAGTGAAACAATGGAAAACAATGGGTGATGTTACCATTCGTTGCTGCCGTCTATGTACTTGAACGTCCTTAAACGACTGAGATGTACAGAGAAAATTCAGATTTTTATTGGCACTATAATTCTTTAACTATGATTCATTGCAGAAGCTTTCTCAACCTACCCAGAGAGTAGCTCTGTACAAACTTGAATTATTTATCCAACTCTTCTGTAACCTCCAGTTATATTTTTTCCTATTCAGCCACTTCCTGTGGATCAGCCTTCTAGGCTGTTTTCCCTTCTCTTCCTCCAGAAATGCACCCTTGACCTTGAATGGTTTTTATCCAGAGTACTCATTGAACTGGGCACCAACCAATAAATGGAGAATAATGCTTGAACCAATGAAAAGTTAAGGACTCTGACTGATAAGCTTAATACCTTTTCTCTGTCCTTCTAGGTTTACATTTCCCCATCTTGGTCTAGACCCCTGGGGGCTTACTGGCATGGCCTGATTGATGAAACATCTTGCTCTGGTTTCCAGTTGAATTTGTCCTGTGGGAAGCACCAGTAGGAGATCTAGGGATAGGAGTTGAGGCTGTTTGTTTATTCTTCAAACTCGATTCCTGCTCTCCAGCGGCGTTCCTCAACCAAAGACACAGCCTCAGTCTGAGACCCTCTCCCTCCACTCTCCTTCCTGGGCTATGATAACCACTACTCTGCTTGGTCATCCACGTCTGGAGTTCATTTGCTCTGGAGTTGGTGCTACCCCTATGAGTTCTCCCATCTCCTCACCCATATCCTTGTCCACAGGCTGTTTGTTAGACTCCCTTCAAATTATCCAATTAGAATCTGCCGTGTTTGCTGCTGGGACCCTGACTGACAAGTTTGGCGGAATGAAATTTAGCCTACCCAGAAGGTGTATTTATTGAAATAAATAAATAAAAATAAACATAATTTGAGAAAAAAATCATATTAGACTTAAGATATGTAAGAAAGCATTTCATATGTGCTAAGTCACTTCAGTCATGTCCAACTCCATCTGACTCTAAGACTATAGGCTGTCAGACTTCTCTGTCCATGGTATTCTCCAAGCAAAAATACTGGAGTGGTTGCCATGCCCTCCTCCATGGGAATCTTCCAAACCCAGGGATTGAACCCGCGTCTCTTACGTCTCCTGCATTGGCAGGTGGATTTTTTTTTTTTTTTTAAACCACCAGCACCATCTGGGAAGCCCAAGAAAGCATTAAATTGTAACAAGTAAATCATATCAATAATATGGGCTTCCGATACCTAGGAAGCTTATGATTCCAATCACTGTATTATAAGAAAGGCTGTTTAAAATCTTATACGATCATCTTTTTTTTAAACTTCTAAGAGAAAAAACCCAAAACCCTGCTTTCTACAAAGGAGTTGAGAAGGGTACAATTTAACCCTAATAGAATGAGATGAGAAGAATGTGGCTGGGATAAGTAAAAATTAGAAACAAAATTAAAATGAAATAGAAGAATTAAGATCTGTAGTAGAAGCAGTAAAGAGTAGAATTGTCGTTGAATAAAAGCAAGTCAGTGGTTGCAAAGGAGTCATCTGAAGAGCTTTTTTCATAACACAAAGGAAATATATGCAGAGAAACAGCCATAGATCAGCTGAGATCTAAGTGAAGCTACTAAAGAGGTGACATACAAGATAAATATTCAGTGAGCAAAGTTTTCTAATATATAAGAATAATTACTGAGAAAATATAATGGAAAAAGAGTCCATTCATGTTAAAAATATAAATAAATTAATAATATAAAATAATTAATATATTTGTTTATATTAACCACAAATTGATTCTGGGGGCTGTACAAAGAAAACCGCAGAACTTTAGTTATAAAAAAAAATGGAATTAAATGTTATTTTAGGGGATAGGAAAATTTACTATTGTAAACGTATCAATTATTCACAAATTAATGTGGAAATTTAAGTGCAGTAATGACCAAAAGCCTAGTGGGACTTTTGTTTGGTGTGGCATGAAGAGGACAAGGACTTGACAAAGGATTCTGTATTTATATAACAAAATGTACAAAAAAAACCAAAGAATTTTGAAAAACAAGCATAAAGGAAAATGACTGTTATAAAGTTACAATAATTAAAACACTATTACTTTAACAATAATGTAAAATAATGGAAAGGGGGACTACATGAAATAGAATAGCTATTCCGGAAGTAGCAGTATCTTTAAGTGTATAATGAGGAGGTGCCAGTGCCAAGTCACGTCAGTCGTGTCCGACTCTTAGTGACTCTATGGACTGTAGCCCATCAAGTTCCTCTGTCCATGGGGATTCTCCAGGTAAGAATACTGGAGTGGTTTGCCATGCCCTCCTCCAGGGGATCTTCCCAACCCAGGGATCAAACCCGCGTCTCATATCTCCTGCGTTAGCAGGCAGGTTCTTTACCCCTGGTGTCACCTGGGAAGCCCTAATGAGATAGTACTAAAGGAAAGAAGGATTATTCAAAGCTTGGTGCTGAAATAAGTGGATACATTTTGGAAAAACTATGTTCATTTTTACCTCACCTACCTACACCAAAACCAATTCTAAATGGATTAAATAACTATACTTTAAAAATTATACCGTTAAGAGCTAGAAAAATAATATGTATAAAGTCTTAGACTGAGAAAGAATTTTCTATGTAAAAGTTGTGAGAGGGACTTCTCAGTGGTAAAGAATCCACCTGCTAATGCAGGGAACATGGGTTCCAATCCCCAGTCCAGGAAGACCCCACATGCTGCAGGCACCTTAACCTGTGTGCCGCCGGTACTGAGATCGCTCTCTAGAGCCCGTGAGCCTCAGCTAGTGAAATCCATGCCCCCTAAAGCCCAGGCCACGCAACAGTAGAAGCCACCACAATGAAAACTCCGTGTACCGCAACTAGAGTAGCCCCTAGAGAAAGCCTGCGAACAGCAAGGAAGACCCAGCGCAGCCTAGACAAACAAATAGATTAGTTTTTAAGTTATGAGGCCATAAGTCACTAGGAAATGCTTCATTAGTTTTAAAATTAAATTCTATATGATATAAGATATTAGAGTTCAGGTAAAATATTAGAGTAACTGCTATAACAAAGAGTCAACAATATAAGGGCTTTAAAAACAAAGCATTTTATGTACTCTCACCTAAGAGTCCAAGAGGTGCCACTCAGGTTTCCCTAGGTTCTCTCGAATTCCTTGCTCTGCCATCTTCTAGGGCATTGTTGTTGCCCATGGTTAGAGGTAATCTGTGCCACATCCGGTCCTCTAGGTGGGAAGCAGGCTAAAGGATGCACTCCCACCATCTTAAAGACCTGGGCAGACAATGGCAACCATCACTTCTGCTCACATTCGATCGGCAAGGAGTTAGACATCGGGCTCCATTTAACTGCAAGAAGAGTAGAACATGTAGTCCACATGCTCAGTTATCTGGACTGTGGAAAACGGAGAACAAATTTAGGTGGAAAAGAGCAGTATCCACCACACCATCATAAAGACAATTGAAAGGCAGAGAAAAAAACAGAAAAAATCTGCAGCAAATATGGAAAAAGGTTGTCATCATTATGACATAAAGAAGTCTATAGAGACAATTCAAATTGAACTAATGCACCAATAAAATGGACAAAAGACATAAACAATATAAATGTCTCATAAACATGAAACTTGGCATTGGTTGCAACAAAGTAAAATGGAAATAATTATATGCCATTGTTTATCAATCTGTTTGTCAAAATCTTTCTTAATGGCCATTCCCAATGCTAACAGTGTGTAGAGAGAACTTTATTGAGTATAATAAATATCAGAGCATTCACCCTTTGTAAAATATAAGATTTTTCACAAAATAGCTCAACTATGTGCTTCTTCTGGAACTCTGAACTCATGTTAAGAATCTACCCTAAGGAAATAACCCAAGATGTGGTCAAAGTGGTGTGTACAAATATGTTCATTCTAGCACAAACAATTGGAAATAACCTAAATGTCTGACAATAAGGATGGCTAAATAAATTATGTGTAGGGAGAACGCTACTGCTGTCTCCATGTCACCATTTCACTTTATAGACAACTTCTGTCCACACTCCCACTTGGGAAGTGCTGGCAAAGAAAATATATTAAATTTTTTCATTCTTTACTTGCTTCTTTCCCAGAGAGAAATAGCTTATAGTTTTCATAGGGCATCATATCGATGCACCATATGCCAGAGAGGTAGAGTAGGATTATTAGGAGAGGCCAGACTTCCACCCCTGCTTCCTCATAAGCAGTGTGATCTGTCTCAGTATAAAGACCCACAGGCTCCCACATTCTCCATTCTGCACCAACTGGATTAATGTGGCAGGTCTAGTGTTTCCATGTGAGTGGCTATAGCTAAGTGTCTCAGAATTCACTTTGTAAGCTCAGTTATTCAGATAGACATATCTAATATTAGGAGATGTGGTGGTGGGCAGGGGGTAATTCTCAGATCCTACTCTCTTTCTCCAAGCTAACTTCTCTGGGAAGTTCTAAATTCTGAGAATTATGAGGCCTTTCTTGATAGGGGTACTTTGTTCCATACACAGTGCCTTATGTCCATATTCTACTTCCATGTTAAAAAACATGGAAGGATTAACACCATCAACCTTCAATACTAGGGGACACCTGTAAGTGAAATAATATCGATATAGTCTGAGAATTATGGTTATTTTTACAGCAACTGCTATTAGGAAAATACTATATGATATCTAATGGAAAAGCAAGTAAATCAGACCTCATTTCAGCAGTATAGAAAGCCAAAATATATTTGCAAGAGAAAAGCATATAAAAATTCTGGATAATACTTTTTTTAATTTTTTCAAGCTTTGTTGAACTGGAATGAAAATAATGAAGTTCTCACAGCTCAGGTCATAATGCCCAAGACAGGGAAGCATCCAAGGAAGTTGGTGCCTTCGGCTTTAATAGGCGACAGGATTAAAGGAGAAAAGCTTAGACTACATACAGCGTAGGAATAGCATCAGATAACCTGCCACATAAAGCTGCGACCAAGGAAGGCAACTCTTTTGATGTGTAGACAGGGAAAATTTCTGCTGCCATCCATAAGGAGGTAACTAAGAAAAATTTCCAATCTCAGCCTTGACTTGTAGGGAGCAGACAAAAATGGAGAATTTGTAACTGCCAGCCAGTCTTCACATGGGTTTGGAGCTTGAATTTGATGGCCCCAAATACCTAATTTGGTCATGAATTTGGTTTAAAGTGTTCCCAAGGATTTGGCAGAATCACATACAAATCCCCTCTGTAGAATCATACCACAGAAAAAAATTCTGGGATCACAGATCATGATCTGTCTCTTTCTCCCCCTGTCTCTGTCTCACACACACAGACACCCACAAGTCTGAGGTATCAAGCCACCATGAAAAATCATTCATGAAAACAAAAATCAGGCAATTAGATCTGCAAAGATGGTGGATATTCAAATGACCAGATGTGGAATATAAGTTTAACATTTTTAAATAAAAGAAATGGCTAAAAGCATGACTAAGGAACAAGGGACCAGCAAGCAGATTAGAAAAAAGAGAAATAAGACTTCTAGAAATTAAAAATACAATGAATACAGTTAGAAATTAAACGAATGGATTAAAAACCAGGTTGTTACCAGGCTGTGTGTGTTAGTCGCTCAGTCATGTCTGACTCTTTGTGACCCCATGGACTGCATAGCCCACCAGGCATCTCTGTCCATGGGATTCTCCAGGTAAGAATACTGGAGTGGCTCGCCATTCCCTTCTGCAGGCGATCTTCCCCACCCCGTGATCTAACCTGGATCTCCACATAGCTGGCTCAGATTCTTTACAGTCTGAGCCACCAGAGATTAGACGCATAGTAATTCCAATCTTGGGAATTTGTCATAAGGAAACAAACCAACAGCAGAGCAGTAAAACACACCAAAAAAAAGTCACACACATGTTCACTGTGTCAATGTCTACAAAGAAAACCTTGGGAATAATCTTTATGGCTTAATCTTTAAGATTAATAATGCTTTCACTAAATAAAATCTGTTAAGCTTCTAAAGCTTCCCTGATAGTTCAGTTGGTAAAGAATCTCCCTTCCCTGGTTCAATTCCTGGGTCAGGAAGATCAGCTGGAAAAAAGCAAATTAAATATCTGAAAGAATTAGTGAATCAATGAGTCAATTAACTTGTGTTAATATCTTTAATAACATGTACAGACTGACAGAGATTCGCTCAGTCATGTCCAACTCTTTTCGACCCCATGGACTGTAAGCCTGCCAGGCTCCTCTGTCCGTGGGATTTCTCAGGCAAGAATACTGGAGTGGGTTGCCATTCACTTCTCCAGGGGATCTTCCCCAACCCTTGACTGAACCTGAGTGTCCCAGATTGCAGGCAGATTCTTTACTGTCTGAGGCACCAGGGAAGCCCAGTAATAACTACAGATATATGTTTTTATATTATGATTTATTATTTTAAGTTTACATAATTTGCCTTCAATTTTCAGAGGACTTTTACTTATAAAATTAGATTATCCTGAAAATAATCCCATGGGATTTTTAGAGGGGACATTAATCCCCAAATTCTTTGAAAGTAGGGGTAGAAATCTATTTTTGGCCCCCCCACAAATTATTACATGCAATCAACAGATATTGAATCTGTTGAATAAATATGGTTAAATCCATTCAGTGCTTCTCTAATCTGTAATGCATTTGAACAAAATATCTACTCTCTCTTTAAAATTTTTTCTCCAACTTAAAAGTAGTTCTTTTTCACAAGTGATTTTCAAATCACAAAATTGAAGTTTCTGGAATGGAAACAACATGTGTAAAGACCATTTAATTGGGTACCTAGAGACCTAGATCTGCCCTGATGTAGTCATTTGAATTTGGACAAAGGAAGAGGTATAGTTGAATTAGGTAAATATTGATGGAGTGTCTGCCAAGTGCCAGACATTGTTTGGTAACTTACATATGTTATGATCTCAGCAGTCTTTGGAGAAAATGTCCCAAAGTGATCGTTTCTGTGTGTGTAACACAATGTGTAAAAGAATCATCATTTATTAGGTGCTGTAATTTGGGTCAGGCAATGTGCCAGTTACTTGACATACATTTTTTTTTTTTTACCTCAGTGGTTAACCAATTGTTCCAGCATTTACATGGCATTTTCTCATAGAAATCTCTCTGGCAAGCAGTAGAGTGTCAATGAAATAACCCCTGGCATCTGCTCTGTCTCAAATGCTTCTTCAAGATCCATGGTCGAAGAGGGGCCATAACAAAGAGAAAGACCAACCAGCTTTCCCCCACAGCCTGCATTAGAGGGAAATAAGGGGCTGATACCTCTACTCCCCAAAATAAGAGTGGGGAGCAGCAACTCAATGGGGGCTTCCTGTCAGTGTCTTAGGAGGGTGGCAGGAATTACAAACCGAGGTCCACTATTCTTAGAACCTGTAAAGGATCTGCAAACTTTTGCTCACCTTTTGTTTTAACTTCATTTGTGAAAATCATCTCATGTAATTGGGCTCTACCAGAGCTTGCTGGAAAAACCCAAATAAGTCTCTGAAGGAAATAAAATCTCATGTAGATTTAGGTGGCCAAGAACAATTTGAAACCCAAGCTAGAATCACGGCAGGAATCCAGCTGGCCTAGGATACAGAAGGAACAGAACAATGAAGTCCAAGTGGACATGAGCCTCCCATCCCCAGAAATCTAGGTGAAAGCTTTAAACAGAGTAATAACAATAGCAAATGCCTATATGGTACTTTTATGTATATGTATAATTTATATTTTTTAATATATATAAATACATATATTTTCCATATTTAATCCTTTCTGGTGAGTATCATTGTTAGTCTCATTTTTTAGATGAAGACACATCTACTAAGATCACAGGTATCCCGTGGCAGAGCCAGAGTTCACATGCAGGCAGTCTGACTCCAGAGTCCTAGCTCTTTACCATTCGCTCCACCACCTCTCGCATACTGACCAGATACTCTTATTCCCAGAATGTACAGAGAACTTCAATGACTAACACATTCTATGTGCCACATGTAAGCCACATCAGTTGCATAGTACTCATAGGCTGAGAATTCCCAGGAAACTTCGGTCTGCAGATTTTTTTCACCTCACTTATATACAAACCTAGGTATGACTCAATAATCAAAGCTCAGCTTCTTCGTATGCTCGATCACTCCTGCACTCATTCATTCAGATATCATCACAAAAAAGGCAGAGCTCTGGCGCCAGCCTCTCCCATGATCACAATGTGATCTCTAACTGTGGTTGCCTTCCTCTGAACCAAGCATCAAAAGCTGTATGCTGGCTTTACTGTAACCCGTGGCTCCATGATGAACTTGCCGGGTGGCTCAGTGATAAAGAACCTGCCTTCCAATGCCTGAACCACAGGAGACGTGGGTTCAATCCTGGGATGGGAAGATCCTCTGGAGAAGGACATGACACCCCACTCCAATATTCTGGTCTGGAGAAACCCATGGATAGAGGAACCTGGTTGGCTACAGTCCATGGGGTCAGCGAAGAGTCGGACATTACTGAAGTGACTGAGCATGCACACATTGTTCCATAATAATGAATCCTCTCCAGTTTGGCAGGAGTAGTGGAAGATCATTTACTTTGTTGGCCTAGAGGTCTACCTCTCTTCCTTTACTCTCATTGACCCTTGCTCCTTCAAGGCCCACCATGGCATATACCTCTGTTATGATCGTGTGATACTGGTGGTTTCCAGCAAGAAGCAGCAAGAGAACCCTCAAAAAGGTAAGTAATTTGTGAGCTTGTCTCTGATGAAAGCTGGGGAGGACTGGCCAGTAGGTATGTGGAGGTGAGCGTAAAAATAATCAACCAGGGATGTGGTTGGGGAGGAAATTGTACAATATATACACAGTAGGTGATAAAATAACTAAAGGAGAATAAAGCCAACTTCTTAGACACTACCAGAAAATAGTCTGGGCCTGGGAAGAGGTCTAGAGGCTGAGGAGCCTGAGAATATCCTTGCACTCCCCTCCTCTTTCTCTTCTGTCCCCTTCCACCTCTGAAAAGCAAAAGTCGCTCAGTCATGTCTGACTCTTTGCAACTCCATGGACTATGCAGTCCTTGGAATTCTCCAGCCAGAATACTGGAGTACGTAGCTTCTCCCTTCTCCAGGGGATCCTCCCAACCCAGGGATCGAACCCAGGTGAGCCACAAGGGAAACCCCTTCCACCTCTAAACATCTTCTGTTTTGGTGATCAGAGTAGGGATTTAGGATCAAGGCTTCCCTGGTGGCTCAGAGGTTAAAGTGTCTGCCTCCAATGCGGGAGACCAGGATTCGATCCCTGGGTTGGGAAGATCCCCTGGAGAAGGAAATGGTAATCCACTCCAGTATTCTTGCCTGGAGAATCTCATGGATGGAGGAGCCTGGTAGGCTACAGTCCACGGGGTCGCAAAGAGTCGGACGTGACTGAGCGACTTCTCTTTCAGTCACTCAATACCAGGACTCCCCAGGTGGCGTTAGTGGTAAAGAATCTGCCTGTCAATGCAGGAGATGCAAGAGACACAGGTTCAATCCCTGGGTTGGGAAAATCCCCTGGAGGGGGATTCTTGCTTGGAAAAATTGCATAGACAAAGGAAACTAGCAGGCTACAGGCCATGGGCTTGCAAAGAGTTAGCAACTGAGCACACACACACTCACTACCAACAAGTAGATTGACTCCTTCCCTAATATCTTTCAGCACTCAAAACCCATCTTCCCATGAATACTGAGTCTTAAAATATCATCACTTCCTAGGAGAAATCTAACTGGAAACAGAAATATAGATGTCCACTCAACTGCAACTGGACATCAGGCTATTCCCTAATTCAAACCTGCTCATTTAAATTACAGTGCTCTTCATTTCCAAGACACAGCTCAGTCTTCAGTCAGGAAGTATGTCTTACCATGCAAACCCTACTGATGGTGGAGTGGAAGACATTGAGTCAAAGAAATGAAGTTTCATCCCCATACCACCTAGCTTCCTTCCCATGGAGAATGACATTGTGAATCCCAAATAAAGTCTGCAGTGTTTACCCAGTTCTTCCATTCGTGGTCATGATTGATTTCAAATTAAGTGCTGGTGGCTCTCTCATTAAAATTGTCCTCAGAGTACTGTCAAGTTTGTTTTCAGAAGAAATTTTTCAGAGTATGTAATAGGCCCCAATAACAAAAAAGAATGTTGATAGCCAGAAAGAGAAGCAAGGTGTATTACTATTGCAACGACATCCTTCTGTAGACATCAGGGGAATATGACAAGCATGACTCCTATTATTGTTCCAGCATATTGCATTCAGCTGGGATGGAGCAGAACTGTGAAAGTGTATCCTGAGGTATTTTCACTTCATGCATTTGGCATTGTTATTAGTTATTACATTTAAGATACATTGGTCTGTTTACTTCTCATGTTTCCTCACAGAGAAAATGTTAACTGTGGAAAAGGAATATTTGATGTTACAAATTATCTAGCTTGCTAGTCTCATTTCCCTTTTAGTATGCAATTATTTGTTTAGCTTCCCTTAGCAAATGAAATTTCAAGGGCATTCCAAGGAATGTAAAAAATATAAAAGGGAAGTAGAGCCCCATAGAATTTTTCTTTCCTCTTCTTCCTTTTTTTTTCCTTTTTTTTCTTTGTATTCAGAAACAGTCTTGAATCATGCATATGTATGAATCAACAAAATCAGGTTAGCCAAGAAATTGAAAATTGCACTCCACTAGAACATTTGTCTTGCTCTAGAGATCTTTGTTTCGGATTTGAAGGACTAATAAATAATCACCAGCATGACTGGAACAGATATTTTTTATGGACATGGATTGTTAACAGTCTTTTTAGCTTCTCCTAAGGACTAGACTCCTCACTTGTCAATACCTGAAATTCTGTTAACATTGTCCAAAACGTACACTAACAAGGTATATTTAAAATGCCATAAGTTAAAGTGGGGCTACTAGAGATTTAGACAAAGCAGAATAAAATGTAAAAGGATCAAAGAGAGCTAGATGCTAGATAGATAAATAGATCAATGAATAAATATATCAAGCCGGTCAATCCTAAAGGAAATCAACCCTGAATATTCATTGGAAGGACTGATACTGAAGCTCCAATACTTCGGCCACCTGATGCAAAAAGCCAATTGATTGGAAAAGACCCTGATACTGGGAAGGATTGAGGGCAGGAGGAGAAGGATGTGGCAGAGGATGAGATGGTTAGATAGCATCACTGACTCAATGGACATGAATTTGAGCAACTCCAGGAGATAGTGGAGGACAGAGGACCCTGCCATGATGCAGTCCATGGGGTCACAAATAATTTGACATGACTTAGCAACTGAACAACAACAAGTATATAAGTAACGATAGATTTAAATAGATCAATATTTGAAAGGAATGCATATAACAAAAAGTAATTAGCTAACCGTCATTTTCTTCTTAAGGCAAGAGGAAACTTCTTTCTCCAGCAGAATTAACCAGGATCACAGAAAGCACAGAATAGAAAACTCAAAATGTTGCTCATAATGTTTGCATTGATGGTGCGCCTGGATGTACTTTTCTTGAGAATACATATGCAATGTTCTTTCTTTCTAAGCTCTTACAAGTCACTCCCAGTGGAGGCCAAAATTGATCAATTTTGCAGAGACCAAAATAGGTAACAAATAGCAGCTAACAGTCATTGTGGTGTCACTGGGATGACTGCTTGTTGCCGTCTTTTTAAACTGCATGAGTAGGTGCAAATGGGGCGCCTGCCCCCAGACTTGCCCTCTTCCTGCCCATCTCAGTTGGAGCACAACCCTGCTGGGCATGCCCAGTCCAGTTCAGCTGAAGGCCATCTTTCCATCCGCTTCTTCAGTTCCTGGTGTTACCCACAATTTACTTTCCTCTCATCAATGAATGATGATACAGGATAAGAGGCAGAATCAAATCTAGTGTTTTAGGACAATGCTGTGCACTTTCTTCTTCCCCACTAATCACAAAGAGATATGCTGGTTTCAAAGCCAGCTCTCTGATTGTGAATTATGTAAACTTGGACAGGTTTGTTGAGCTCTCAGCCTCAGTTTACTCCTCTGTAAGATCATGCTTTCTATTAGCTCTCTCTCCAGACTGCTGTGAAGTGGGAATGAATAAATCACATGAAAATGCCTAAAATAGTATGTGGCACATAGAAAGTTTATAAGTGGTTATTATTATCATTTATTTATTCATTCATTCCACAAACATATTTTTGAGGTCTTCACATGTATATGTTTGGTGAAATTATGAGGATTTTAAAAAATAAGACAAGATGCTGACCTTTCTAAAAGCTCCTATTCTAGCAGAAGAAACAGATAAGTAGTTAAATACCTACTGTCCATAATATATAATCAAAACGTGTCAAGAAATGCATATGTGTAATCAGAATTTGAAAATAAGCTGAAAGAGAGAGTGGGAAAACTACTTTAAAAATGATGAATGCACTTTTTCTTAAGTTTGATGAAAATCATCAAACCACAGAGGCAAGAAAAACTTAAAAACTTCAACTGAGCCCAAGAAGGAAAATACAAAGAAAAGTTTGCCAAGACACATACACATATAGTCAAATTGCAGGAAAAACAAAGATAAATGGAAAATCCTATAAGCATTCAGAGAAAAACAGACATATTACAGGGAACAACATTAAGAATGATTTCTGATTGAAAATAATTCAAGCCAGTAGACAGTGACTTATAGCATTAAATTGCTGATATAAAAACTTTTCAACTTAGAACTATATAGCCATTGAAAATGTATTTCAAAACTGAAAGTGAAATAAAGATATGCCCAGATAAACAAAAGTGGAGAGAAGTCATAACCAGCACATACACATTGCAAGAAATCTTCTTTAGGCTAAAGGAAATAATACCAGAAGGAAAGATAGATCTATAAGAAGAAATAAAGAACATAGGAAATGGCAAATTTGTGGGGAGATAGGATTTACAAATGTTTTTCTTTAATTTCTTTAAAAGATATATATATAAAGAATTATTGTGGGGTTAGTAACTTACATGTCATATATTTAGCAACAGTTGTACAAAAGTAGGGAGGGAGATAAATGGACATATGTTGTTATGTTGGAGAAGGAAATGGCAACCCACTCCAGTATTCGTGCCTGGAAAATTCCAAGGACAGACGACCCTGGCGGGCAATAGTCCATGGAGTCACAAACAGTTGGCCATGACTGAGCACACATGCTGTTTTGTCTCTTATATTAAACATGACTTGGTATAATATCATGGGCTTCCCTGATAATTCAGTTGGTGAAGAATCCTCCTGCAATGCGGGAAACCCTGAATTGATTCCTGGGTTGGGAAGATCCCCTGGAGAAGGGAAAGGCTACCCATTCCAATATTCTGGCCTGGAGAATTCCATGGACTGCATAGTCCATGGGGTCTACAGTCTGTGGTGTTGCAAAGAGTCAGACATGACTAAGTGACTTTCACTTTCAGTGTAATATCAAGTTAAGATAGACTGTGAGAGATTAAGGACATATGTGTAATGTCTATAGCAACTACTAAAAATAAAGTAGGATAGCTAAAAGTTAATAAAGGAGACATAATGGAAAAATAAAAATATTCCCTTAATCCAAAAGAAGCTGGAAACACAGGAACAAAGAACAAACAGAAAACAAACAGCAAAATGGCAGATTTAAACTCATCAGCATGAATAATTGCAGTAAATGTAAACAAATACACACAACAATTGAAAATCAGAGATTATCAAACTAGATAAAATGGGGAAATACATCCACAAGAAACAGTTGAAATGTAAAGATACAGAGGGTTGAAGGGAAAAGGATAGAAGAGACATCTCATACAAATGTAAATATGCAAAAGCTGGTATGGCTACATTAATATCAGACAAAATGGAGTAAAAATGAGATATTACTGAAATAAAGGAAAACATTTAATAATGATAAATGGGTCAATTTATTAAAATATGTAATAATATTCAATGAGTGTGTATCCAGCAGCAGAGCTTCAAAAGACACAGAGCAAAACCTGACTGAACTAAAAGAAGAAATAGATAAATACATGCTATATTTGGATATTTCAACACTCCTCTCTCAATAATTGATAGAAAAAGTAGAGAGAAAAGTCATAGAGATATGGAAAACTCAAACTATCAGTCCACTTTGACCTATGTGACATTAACAGAATATGTCACCTAACCAGAGCAGAATACACATTCTTTTTAAATACACATGGGACTTCCATTCACCAAAATGAACAGTATAAACCAAATCAAGTCTCTATTTCTGTTTCAAACAAATAAAATTATAGAGTGTGCTTTCTGATCATAGTGAGATATAAAGAAGAGAAACAGCACCATAATATTTGTTTGAAAAGATTAATAAAATTGATAAGCCCCTAGAAAGACAATTTTAAAAGGAAAAAAGAAAGAAGCTATCAGATTACAAAAAGACATGGAGGAAGCTTAAATGCATATTACTAAGTGAAAGAAGCCAACCTGACTACATACTATATGACTCCAACTATATGACATTATGGAAAAGTCAAAACCAAAGAGACAGTAGAAAGGTCAGTGGTAGCCAGGGGTTTAGAGTGAGGGGGGAAGGAGTCAGTGGTGCACAGAGGAGTTTGAGGGCAGTAGAAACTGCTCTGCATGATACGTGAGAGTAGATTTATATTATTGTGTTTCTCAAAACCCATTATACAACTGTCCAATACAGACAACGAAGCCTAATACAAACTACAGACTTTACTCAACAGTAATGAATCAATGCTGGCTTATCACTGTAACAAATAAATAACACTAATTCAAGATGTTAATAAGGGGAAATTGGGGAAAGGGGTATATGGGAACTCTGTACTTACCACTTAATTTTTTAGTAAACATAAAATTGCTCAAAAATAGTCCATCTTTTTTTGAAAAAGGAAAGATAAAAGAGAAATAAACAGCATCATGAAAAAGGAGATGTTATTACACATTTTACATATATTTAGAAGGGAATATTGTGAAAACTTTGGGCCTCTATTTGATCGCATACATTAAATGGACAA